TTACTGAACTCTAAACTCTGTGCCAGTAAGTGTGCTGCATCTATTCAACTATTTTAATGTCCATGGCAACCTGAGGTACACAGTATTATGCTCCTCACCTTCCACTTCAGAAAATAAAGGCACAGAAAGTTTCAGTAACTTTCTCAAGGTCGCACAGCTAGTTAATGGCAAAACCTCAACTCAAACTATTATATGGTCTCGTCTCAGGGTCTGTATTCTGAGTTTCCAGAATGTATGTCAAAAAAATGTTCAGTTCGTTTCAGCATATTTTTAAGTCTATTATTTGCAAAACAATGGCATCTTGCTATTAATAATCAATTACTTAGAATGCTTCTTACAACTGATGAGGAATCAAGGTAACACACCTTGGAAGGACAGTCCTATTCCTGTCACCCACACTCTTCAACAGGTACCTATAATCTAAGGTAATATATCTGACATCAAGTGTTTGGGCACCTTTACCTATGTGGGAGACCCAGATAGAGTTCCTGGTTCTTGGCTTTGGCCTGGCCCAGTGCTGGCAACTGCGGACATTTGGAGAATAAACCAACCAGTGGCCAGAAGATCTCTGACTTTTAAGTAGATGGAAAACAAACAACTGATGAGAAATCACTATTCGTAGAACTTCAATGCAAAGGAACTTAAGACATTATCTTCAACTACCACAAAGACCTAACAGTATTAACTGGTGAAAATAGGTTTTCTATCCAGAATTATGAAAAGCATAAACTTTTCTTTTCCTTTACAGTAAGATTTTGCCACAATTTTTTCCTGTGTTTGCAATAGACTGAAGTTCTCTATGGTACTGAAACTAAATACTTGTGCTGGCACTGTGGTGTAGCAGGTAAAGCCTCCACCTTCGGGCTGGCATCCCATATGGGCGCCAGTTCAAGTCCTGGCTGCTCCACTTTTGACCCAGCTCCCTGCTAACGTGCGTGGGAAAGCAGTGGAAGATGGCCCAAGTCCTTGGGCCTCTACACCCACATGGGAGATGCAGAAGAAGCTCCAAGATTCAGACTGGCCCAGCTCTGGCCATTGGAGCCATCTGGGAAGTGAACCAGCAGATAGAATTCTCTCTGTCTCTCTCTCCACCTCCAACTCTGCCTTTCAAATAAATAAATAAATCTTAAAACAAAACAAAACAAAATAAAACAAACCCTAGGCTGGTGCCGCGGTTCACTAGGCTAATTCTCCACCTGTGGCGCTGGTACTCCGGGTTCTAGCCCCGGTCGGGGCGCCCGATTCTGTCCCGGTTGCCCCTCTTCCAGGCCAGCTCTCTGCTGTGGCCCGGGAGGGCAGTGGAGGATGGCACAAGTGCTTGGACCCTGACTCACATGGGAGACCAGGAGAAGCACCTGGCTCCTGGCTTCGGATTGGTGCAGCGCGCCGGCCGTAGTGGCCATCTGGGGGGTGAACTAACAGAAGGAAGACTTTTCTCTGTCTTTCTCTCTCTCACTGTCTAACTCTGCCTGTCCAAAAAAAAAAAAAAAAACAAACAAAAAAAAAAACAAACAAACAAACAAAAAAAAAAAACCTAAATATTTATTAATGAATCAAAACTCTTTCAAATTCTGATGTTTTCTGAGGAAAGAAAAAACAAAAGTCAGACAGCTGACCTAAACTTGCAGGATTCTGAGACAGCTGAGGACAGAGCTGCAGGCTTTTAATGTAAAAGCTTCTACTCTAATCAGGAACATGAGTTTGAAAACTAATTAAAATTAATTAGTAGTTCCAAGTACCTCAGATGTAAAATCATGCATTATGTAAAAGGTACTTTCAAGGTGAATTTAATTTTCAGAACTTCACTTGAACTAATTTAGCCTCTTAAATGTCTCCCTCTCATAGATAACAGCAGAGAAAATGTTTTATGAATTTCAATTTATGTAGCTTTATAAATGACATTTAAAAGGCTTATCACAATGAAATGACAGAAGGATAAACCAAACAAAATTTTCTAAGAAATTGTCCAGTTTAACTTACATCCTTACATTCTAAAGTAACTCATAAGTATACTTATTCTTTCAAATCTAATTCAGCTTTAAAATACAAGTGTGATTGCAACTCTCCTTTAACAAAAGGGATTGTTTCAACAACTTTGCTATCAACTGTTCAAAGACAAAGACAAGCAATGCCCCCTACAGGGAACTCTCGGAACAACAGTCCTATTCCTGTCACCCACACACTTCAATAGGTACCTGTAATCTGAGTTAGTATTTTTTATATAATTTAACCAAAAAAACTTTAAGGGTAAAAAAATATTAAATGCTGTGTAAAATACCCCACTAGTCTTCTGGATTCATATTTCTTAAAATAATATTAAATAATCTAACTTCACATGCAAGTTCACCAAACACATGATCCAGAGCCCATGGACTAGGAACTATCGCAGACTGCAATGTGAGGATATGCAATTAATTGCACAGACCTTCGAAGTTAAGCTGGTGTGCAGGAAGGGCTGGAGTCACAGGACAGCAATCCTTCCTCTAGCTGTTGAATCCACTGTTCTTCGAGCAGCATCACCTTTACCTTCCTGGCCCAATTCTCTAAGTATTCAGGCATTTCAGAGGATTCTACATTGGGCTTGAACATTTTTCCCTCCCTAAGCAGCACAGGCCCATTGTAATCACAGATGGTTTCATTTTTATGTATTTTCTCTTCCTTTCTCTCTGCTCTCTGCGCCTTGGGAAGTAGATGCTAAGAGGCTTCTTTACTGCAATGGCTTTCAGTTTAGACTAAACATGAAAACCATCTGGAGCTCTTTTACAGAAGTACCACACCTCCTATTTAATTGGACTGGGCTAGGGCCTGAGTTTGGCTTTTGCCTGCTTTCAATTTTCCAGGTGACTGAATGGGCAGCCTGGCTTGACAAACACTCCCTTATGTGGGGTTGCAACCCTTTCTTTAATTGGCAATGACTGCATTTTGATAACTGGTTTGTGTTCCATGAGCACAGCAGTAAACTCCACTAGCCCAGAGGATTGGGACTTATTCCTGGAAAGTTTCCCCAGGCATTGGCCACCCCTTGACATTTCAGCTAGCTGTATTCTGACTGGTTACAGTCACAGACAGAATAACCTCCTATATCAACTCAACCCTCCCCCTGCAAATGTGTGCAAAGCCCAGGGAATGGGGGAAGCCAGGAGTTGGGAATTCCATCCAGGTCTCCCACAAGGTTGGCAAGAACCCAACTGCTTGAGCCACCACTGGAGCCTTGCACGGTCTGCATCAGCAGCCAGAGGGACTGAACCCATGAATTCTGATGGTCAAGAGTTAGCTGTTAGGCCACATACCCAACCCTGAACCTGCCTTTTTAACCTCCCCAGTGCCATGCTGCCATAGAGATCTTCAAACTCCCAATTCATCACTTCTCAGCCTCGAAGGATCATAGTCAATGCCCTTTTCTCACAGGTGCTCCCACCATCCCTTCTCATGGTTTCTGAACACAGTCTGTTCCCTCATAATGGGGAGAGCCCAAAGGGCTGAAGGCTATTCCCCCAAAACTGCATTCCTCCACGAGGGAACTCTCCCAGGCCTTCCCAGCTCTCTGTGGAATAGGGGCTGGTGAGAGAGGATGTTCTCTAACTAGTACCTCAGTAAACCCTGAAGTTTGCTGGTCCAAACCACCAGCAATGATTTGATCTTAGAATGTGAGACTTTAGCCGGCGCCGTGGCTCAATAGGCTAATCCTCCACCTTGCGGCGCCGGCACACCGGGTTCTAGTCCCGGTTGGGGCGCCGGATTCTGTCCCGGTTGCCCCTCTTCCAGGCCAGCTCTCTGCTATGGCCAGGGAGTGCAGTGGAGGATGGCCCAGGTGCTTGGGCCCTGCACCCCATGGGAGACCAGGAAAAGCACCTGGATCCTGGCTCCTGCCAGGATCAGCGCGGTGAGCCGGCTGCAGCGGCGGCCATTGGAGGGTGAACCAACGGCAAAGGAAGACCTTTCTCTCTCTGTCTCTCTCTCTCACTGTCCACTCTGCCTGTCAAAAAAAAAAAAAAAAAAAAAAGAATGTGAGACTTGGCAGGGCCACCGCTACAGCATGGCATGTGGGTACTGGTTCTAGTTCTGGCTACTCCTTTTCTGATCCAGCTCTCTGCTATTGCCTGTGAAAGCACTGGAAGACAGCCCAAGTGATTGGGCCCCTTCATCGGCATGGGAGACCCAGAAATTGTTCCTGGCTCCTGACTGGCCCAGCTCTGGCCATTGTAGCCACTGGGGGAGTGAACCAGAGGATCGAAGACCTTTGTCTTTGTCTCTCCCTCTCTGTGCCTATAACTCTACCTCGCAAATAAATAAAAATCTTAAAAACAAAACAAACTGTGGGACTCATTTTGACCTCAGCTTTGGTTTTACTCACTCCAGAAGGGGAGACCAGGAGTCCCACTCAACTGTTACAAATTACTTACCTCTAAAGTACCTTAGGCCAGGGATTTACTAGAAAGGTGGTAAGCAAAACTAGCAGGACAGGGAGGAGAAAAGTAAGGAAGTGACTTCCACAGGGTTGTTCCAGGAAATTCTGGATGATAAGTTGCACCTGTCCAAGACTAAGGCACCTAGAGTAAAGTTAAGGGGCCCTTCAGGCTGAAGACCCACAGGTACTGCACATTAGCAGAGTGAAAGGTGGAAGAGGACAGAAAAGTTGCAGGGAAAAAAAAGATGAGGAATCTGGGTGGACTACTACAGTTGTTTTCATGAGTTCTACAATGTTACAGAACAAGCTATGTAATGGCTAGTGCTACCACTACTAGCACAGCATCATGCATTTGGGTTACACTGACTTTTTGGCATAAGTTGCTTAATGAGTTAATAAGGGCAGTGTGAACAAGGTATTTTCAAACAGAGTAAAAAACTTTACAGACTGATATAAGACTGAAGGGAAAGAACTCTATTTTTGACATTGACCTTTAAATTGCACTGATTTTGTCCATTCTGGAAAGCAGTCACCTGTGTTGGATATTCATTTTCTGAAAATTTATTTCTGAAACATTCACAGAGTCACAAGGTCTCAAAAACAGTGTTTATTTTAACACATAAAATGTGCCATCTAGCACCAATGCCTGTGCATACCAGAATTCAGTTTGGCTACTACTTTTTGGAACTGGCAATTCAAGTCCTTGACAGATGAGCCTGTGAGAGCAGATGATTATCATAATGCAAAAGTGATATGGACAGAATAAAAATGATTTGGGAAGCGTATCCAGAACAACATTTGTAATTATTAAAAAACCTGTTTCATGTAAGCAAGTTAACACCAGTGTTTTTTTTTCTTGCCATATTTTCTTGTAAGACAAACCTAAGAGAAAAGTACATGAGACACTCAAGTCCACAAGCCTGAAAACAGGCTTTACATTCTCATTCCATTCACAAATGGAAAACTTTGTAAAGATCCTTTTGTTGTCCCCTCCATCTGTCTTCTCAGCAGCACAGCACAGTCCAATTTATTATTTAAACCATATACACATACTCAGAAGAGGAAAATAAGAAAAATTTGGCCAATGTAAGTGTACAAGACAACATTCCCATTTTTTTTAAAGTAAAAGAACATTTGAGTACAAAAAATAACTTAGAAGAAATGAAGCAACTTGAAAATTTATCTGTCTTGAAGATAACTAAAATTTTCTGGTCTGAATTTTAAAACATTATATTGTAATAGACAACTCTCTTTGAAATTGAATCAATGTTCTCTTTAGTTTTCTGAAACTAAGTTGAGTCAACCATGCTACTTCATTATTTATTTTTTGCAGACTTTAGACTAATCCCAATCCTAATTTTTGAGTAACTGATTCCCAGTGTTTCTTATATGCAGAATCTGATGCTAAGTAAAACCTCAGTTGGATTTCAGGCCCGTCAGTGGGCAGGCAGGTATTTTTTGTATTGTACACAGATTGTGGTAGTTGTCCTCTATATACTGGATGTCTAAAGACATGCTGGAAAAAAATCTGTGAACACAATCGTCCCATGCTGAATTCACATGCTCCATTCACATCTTGAGCTTACCCAGGTCGTCAAAGGGTTGGGTAAGATAGCTAAAAGCTTCATGATGGACATTTCTACAAAGAGAAAAAAAGAAAGAAAGAAAACTTACAGAATTGTTGCTCACCACCAATTAGGTATTCACTAGGAACTGAGTATTAGAGAAGATTCCTAGGAGTGGCTAATTGTCAATTCAAGTGAACTACCATAGCATCATATAATGTTCTTAGTTGATACCTAAAAAACAAGCACCCCAAGAGAAAACAGATGCTTTAGACATTATCAAAAGAAAAAACTAGTATGAGACATTTAGCCTAGCAGCTAAGATGCAGGCTGAAGGGCCAGAGCTGTGGTACAGTGGGTTAAGCTGCCGTTGGCAGTGCCAGCATCCCACATGGGCTGGTTCAAGTCCTGGCTGCTCCACTTCCCATCCAGCTCCCTGTGATTGTGCCTGGGAAAGCAGTGGAAGATGACCCAAGTCCTTGTGCATTCATGTGGGAGATGCAGAAGACTTAGCTAATGGCTCCTTGCTTCAGCTTGGCATAGCCCCAGCTGTTGCAGCCATTTGGGGAGTGAACCAGCAGGCAGAATATTTCTCTAACTCTGCTTTTCAAATAAATCTTAAAGAAAAAAAAAAAAAAAAAGATGCAGATTGAGACACCTGCCCCCCACATCAGAGTACCTGTGTTCAATTCTGGGCTCCTACTCCTGATTCCAACTTTCTACTAATGCAGAACTTTGGAGGCAGTGGTGATGGCTCAGGTAATTGGGTCACTACCACCCATGTAGGAGGCGTGAGTTGAATTGCTGGCTGCTAGGACCAACCCAATCCAGCCATGGCCATCACAGTCATTTGGAGAATGAAAGAGTAGACTGGAGCTCTCTGTCTCCTTGCCTCTCAAAAACTTTTAAAAAGACAATTTGTTTAAAGGATATACTACCACAAAAATGAAAAGACACAGACTGGAAAAATTATTTCCAAGCCATGTATCCAAGAAGTGTCTGGTATCCAGAATAAATAAAGTATTCTTATAATAAATCAGGAAAAGACAACTCAGTTTGAAAATAGGCAAAGTATTTCTCTGGAGACACGAAAGGATACTCACCATCGCTCATTGCCAGGGAAATAAAAATAAAAACCGCAATGAGACACTGTTTCACACCAACTAGGCTGGCTGTAATAGCAAAGATAAACAATAACAAGTGACGGTAAGGATGTGGAGAAACTGGAACTCTCATCCTCTTATGGTGGGAATGTAAAATGGTACAGGAGCTTCGAACAGTCTGTCAATTTCTCAAAAGGTACACAGAGCTCTCATATAACCTAACAATTCCACTCTAAGTATACACTCGAGATTTGAAAATACATGTTCACACAAAAATTTCCACATGAATGTTCATGGCAGAATTACTCATTACAGTCAAAAACAGGAACAAATGAAAAGGCCATTAATTGATGGACGGATAGGATATGTATATCTACACAAAGGAATGTTACTTGACAAAAAGTAAAATCCTGGCTTATGCTAAAACAGGACCTTGAAAACAGTGCCAAGTGAAAGCAGCCAGACACAGACAACACAGTATATGATTCCATTTATATGACATGCACAGAACAAATCCAGAGACAGCTTAGTGGTCGCCATAGGCAGGGACAGGTGGGGGTGGGGACAAGAAGTGACAGCTAATAGGGATGCAATTTCTTTCTGGGGTCATAAAAACCTTTAAAGTTAGAAAATGGTGGGGCAGGCTGTGGCACAGCAGGTTAAACTAGCACTAGCTCCCACACACCATCCTGGAGTCCTGGCTACTCTGTGCTTCTGATCCAGCTTCCTATTGAAGTCCCTGGGAGGCAGCAGATGACTACCCTAGTACTTGGGCTCTTGCCACCCACATGGGAGACCTGGAAGGAGTTCCTGGCTCCTGGCTTTGGCGTGCCTACCTCCAATTGTTGTGGGCACTGGCATTTTGAAAATGAATCAATGGAGGGTTTTTCTTTCCCTGTCTCTCCCTCTGCCACTCTGCCTTTCAAATAAATACTTTAATAAAAAGAGCAAAATAATGTAAAAAAATGAGAAAGTGATGATTTCCTCAACTTTGAAAATACTACAACACTGAACTGTATACTTTAAAAGGTGAACTTTGGGGCAGGCATTTGCCACCGTGCTTTAGATGCTGCTTGGGATGCCAACATCCCAGACTGGAGTGCCTAGGTTTGAGCCCCAGATTTGCTTCAGATTCTAGTTTCCTGCCAATGTGCACCCTGCAGGGAAGCAGGTGATGGCTCAGGTACTTGGGTGCCTGCTACCCTGCGAAAGACCTGTATGGAGTTTCAGGATCCTGGCTTCAGCCTGGCCCAGTCCTAGCTGTTGTAGGTATTTAGGAAGTGAACCAGCAGATGGAAGATTTCTCGGTCACTGTGCTCTTTAAATAAACAAAACAAAACAAAATTTTAAAAGGTGAACTCTGCCATGTGAATGCAGATCCGAATCACTAATCCTAATCCTATCATCCCTTTCCCCTTAGATTTAGACTTAACACCTACTCCTGTTCCCTAAAAGTATAAATTATATTTACTTTTGGCTAAAATTCAGTCAGAAAACTTAAGGAACAAATTCACTCAAAGCAAAGAGAACAGAAACAAGCAGGAGTTATTAAAATCAACATCTTTAATTCATAAAATTCATCATGTCCCTGACTTGTGTCACGTATACAAAAGGTGTGGTAATACAAACATGGGTAAGATACAATTCTTCCCTTCTACAGGCTCAAACTCTAGATGTCACAGAAGCAACCAGCAAAAAAATATGATGGTTATACCCAGGAAAGGAAGCACCAACAAAGGAAAATATTGAGAAACTGTTTAATTGACTGTATTTTTCTTTTATGGACAGATCTACCTGGCTGTATTTTACTTTGTTAAAAAAAAATTAGTGGCTGAACAAAACTCAAAATGATTAGAACTGGCATTTAAAAAACCTCACAGAGATAAAAGAAACTTTAGCTATGTCATTTGTCTGAGGTAATGCCCAGTTACAGAGCTACAAAACTTACCATGGAAGGGACCTTTAAAAAAAGAAGCACACCTCATTTCAGAGCAAGAAACCAAGGGAAGATAGTTTAAGTGATCGCAACACTGAGAGTCAGTGCCTCCAGGAACCATCAGAGCTCTTTGAGCACATCAAAATCAAGGTCTACACTGCACAAAAGCCCAGACACAGTAACCAGCTGATGAAACCTCCCACTCCCCAGAGGACGAAAAACTGGGAATGTACTTACCGATTTTTTCTTTCTTATGTATATAATATGAATATCTTCACTTCGATACTCTTCATCATGTTTTTCCAAAGGAATTTTTTCAAAGTCAAAGTCTAATTGAAGGAGCTGTAAATTTAAAACAGAAATGTTGCAAATTCGTAACATGAACTGACCTGTGGCGACAGAAATCAGAATAGTGGTACCTCTGGGGAAAAATCAACTGGAAAGAGGCAATGTGGAAGCCTCTAGAGGTCCTGAAAATGTCCCACATCGGGGCAGGAGTCGTGGCACAGTAGGTAAAGCTGCTGCCTGAGAAGCTGACATCTTGGACAGGCAATGGTTTGAGCCCCAGCTACTCCACTTCCAATCCAGCTCCCTGCTGCCAGGAAAGCAGCAGAAGATGGGCCAAGAACTTGGGCCCCTGCACCCACGTGGGAAACCCAGAAGAAGCTCCTGGCTTCAGATGGGGCAGCTCCAGCCATTGTGGCCAGCTGAGGAATGAATCAGCGGGTGGAAGATCTCTAACTCTGCCTTTCAAATAAACAAATAGATCTTTAAAAAAAAAAAAAAAAAGGGAAGAAGAAAGAAAATGTCTGTATCTTCATGTTGGAAAGCAGTTACCTACATTTATGCACATGAAAAATTGTTGAGTACTGGATTGTGTACATTCACATGTTTGTTTTACCTCAATGAAACTTTAATATAAATATTTCTAGGCCGGCGCCGCGGCTCACTAGGCTAATCCTCCACCTAGCGGCGCCGGCACACGGGGTTCTAGTCCCGGTCGGGGTACCAGATTCTGTCCTGGTTGCCCCTCTTCCAGGCCAGCTCTCTGCTGTGGCCAGGGAGTGCAGTGGAGGATGGCCCAAGTGCTTGGGCCCTGCACCCACATGGGAGACCAGGAGAAGCACCTGGCTCCTGGCTTCGGATCAGCACGGTGCGCCGGCCACAGCGCGCCGGCTGCGGCAGCCATTGGAGGGTGAACCAACGGCAAAGGAAGACCTTTCTCTCTGTCTCTCTCTCTCACTATCCACTCTGCCTGTCCAAAAAAAAAAAAAAAAAACAAAAAAAGATTCGCCTCATACACTATCATTTTGCATATTCAAAAAAAAAAAAAACAGAAATTTTTAAAAAACATTTTAGTGGGGCAGGCAGTCAGCCTGGTGGCTAAAACATCTACGTCCGACATCAGAGTGCCTGGGTTTGATTCTTAGCTCCAGTTCCCAATTCCAGCTTCCTGGTAATGCAGACCATGGTAGGCAGTGGTAATGACTCAAGGAATTGAGTTCCTAACACCCACGTTAGAGACCAGATTGAGCTGAGGGATTTGAGGAGTAAGCCAGCCAATGGGAGTCTTTCTTTCTTTGCCTCTCAAAATAAAAATAAAACAAAAAATTTTAGCACAGCCATATACTTGCTTTCTCATTAAAGAACAGTAGTCCTTTCAGTAGACAAAACTGTACCTAGCTGTTCCTGCAAAATCAGTCACCTGTAATGGAATGGATGTTTGCCCATATAAAGTGGGTATGGGTACCACCAGGGGAAAAAGGATTGAACTTACATAAGACTATGTACTATTTGTGCAACCTCCTGTGGGTCTATCTATCTAAAAAAAAAAAAAAAAAAAAAAAAAAAAAAGTTGTAAATAGGTAGGTATCTAGGTTAAAGTTTCATAAAAATGTGACTGAAAAACAGAAGCAAAAATTTATCACCTGTACATTTCCATCAGGTATTCTCCAAAAGTGAAATACCCATCATTGATATTTCTCAAAAACAAACATCATGTTGAATAAAAATTAACAACTTTCTCACAAAAGAGGGTCACCATTATTATTTTATATTGTTCTATTAGATAGTGTATCAACCAATGAGAAAAAAAGATAAAGTGTCATGCAAGATGAAAAAGAGGGGAGAGGGCTTAGAAAAATCATGGATTGTGCAGATTTCTCCTTGGGGTCACACCAGCACAATGTTTACCACCCCAAACTGCCATAAGATACTTGAACTCAGTTATATAAAACCTCTCTGGAAGATAATCACTACAAAGAGAGATTTTCTTACCTCAAAGTATTTTTTCTCGATTTCTGGATTTTTCCCCATTGTTCGTTGTTCATAACAACATATAATACAAGTCTCATATCCACTGAGATCTTTTAGGGTTTTCAGCAATGGCTCCAAAGACTATTGAAAAAGGAATATATATTTTTATGACAAATATTTTCTACTATAAAAGGAACATGGGGAGTGGAGGGATAATTATAATTATTATAATCAATTACTCATCTTTAAATCTATCCAACAAAGCAGATGTAATTCAAGCTCCACAAATGATTGGAAAACAACTCTTAACTAATCAACTCCATTTTATCGAATTTAGTTTCCAGAAAAAGCACTCTAATAACTGTATTTTAAAGATTCCATGAGAAAATAAATGGGTTTCAATCTTTCACATTTTCATTTTACTTAATCTAATTTAGGATTTAGCAACCGACAATTAACCTTTCAGAAGTCTAACCCTGACATTATTCTGATGACGAGTGATGCCCATAACAGTGTACAGACTGACATTTACAGAAAAACCTTTCCATGCATCTAATAAATCTTGCCACAAGGAGTCCTTTGGAATGCAACTTAATTCTCAATGTCATTTTTAACATGTTCAGCTAAGGAAAAAATAAGATGACCTCAGCTTTTCATTTCACAAATGGCAAAATTCTTCAAAAAGTTTACAAAAGCGATTTTACACCTTTCTCAACATGCTTCACGGGCCCGTATTTTAATCACGGGGGGTGTATCATGCGTCCCTGGTGACTTCTGTCATCTCTTCACTGCATCATCCACTATAACACAGTCTGAACTCAGAGACGCTAAAATGTGAAGAAACGTGTGCTTTAGAATCCACGAAATACAGCTCATCTCAAGGAGGAGACTTCGCTCACTGAATGCTTACCTCTTCATAGTATATGCAGTCGGCCATCAGTATGTAGTCTGGTGGCGAAGGAAAGTCTTCTATTTCTTCCCCCCTTAAAAACGTCAAACAAATATTTTAATTGTTGCTTGAATCATGTACCATACTCTTGTCTTATAATAAAAGAACTGGAAACTCCCCTTCGTATTAACCACCCTTTCGGTGAAAAGCAATTTAAAGGCAGGCTACAGATCGCTATCTTAAAACAAGCTGAAAGGCCATACAAACCATTTCAGTACCTTGGCTTGAACAGAACCAGTGACAAGATGCTTGTTCATGTCAATATTCATCTTCAGCAGGTCCTGCAGTTCCTCAAGATCGGTGACTACAACATGTGCCCTACAAAATAACGTCGATGAGGACTAGGCACAGGCTGCGCAGTGGGCACCGGGCTGCACCCCGCCGCCAGCGCTTACCCTAGGGTGGCGGCCATGAGTCCCACGGCTCCGGTGCCTGAGCCCAGTTCCAGGACCGACCGCCGGCTCAGCAGGTGCGTCCCGTCGCCAGAAAACCCGGGTGTTTCCAGGTATTTAGAAAGGACAATAGCTGCGTCCCAGACAACGCAACCCACGCCACCGGAGCTATACTGCTGCAGGCGTAGCACCGTGCCATCCCGCTTCTCCAAAACTCGCACAAAGCTCCGTAGTGGGTCCTCCTCCGACGTCTCCGCAGTTGCCGCCATCGCAGCCAAACCACAGGATGCGGCGCATGCAGTGACGTCACACCCACGCGCACGCCCCGCGGCCCCGCCCTGAGTGGCGGAGCTGGCCGCATGGTGCCACGGCGCGTGCGCGAGTTCCCAAAGCCGCGGGGGCACCGTTACGTGGGCGGGACCGAGCGCTATGCCCCGCCTCCCCAACCCCTAGTCAGCAGAAATCTCTTTTCCAGAAAAACCGAGTGCGATAACCCGCCTGTAATAAAACAAAGGAAACTTCACATTGTTTCTATATGGATGGAGACGGATTCACACGGTGGTCACCGCCTTAAGTTCAGGCAACTTCCAAGATCCAACCAAAGACGGCTGTGATCCCGAGTCCCCTCGCCTGCTAGCTCCCGGTTTTCACAGGAATGCGTACAAACGTTGCTGAAGCTTGTCGTTTGGGCTTAACAGTGAAGGCAGTTATTCCTCTAGAGTTTACGTCAGTTAAATTCTTTGGGATTATGTGATGTGTTGCACAAAACAAAATAACGTGTGTATGAATCTACAGGATTCAATCTCTCCTTGGTTTCTTATAATAAAAACACGTATTTTAAAAGCCTTTTAAAAATTAAGACTGGGTGATTTATTAATCTTGTTAAGAACTCTGATACAAAGCACAGTAAAAGGCCACAGACCAGTAAATAAACAACGTGGCTTTGGGCTACTTTACAATTGCTGCTACAGCACTGTCCGCAATATGCTTTTCATCACTTCCAATGAGGGTGTACAAATACCAAAAAAAAAAAAAAAAAAAAGTGTCACTCCTCTGATTAAAAAGTTTAATAAAGCTTTAAGTATTTGCTGGTTTAAATATTACCAATCTAAAAAATTTTTTTTAAAAGTTTCAGTTAACAGGAGATTTACAGAGACGGTTACTAGGTTTTGAAGGCAAGGCAGCTGGTTCCTATGCCATAAGAAGTTTCTCCTTTGAATTTACGCATTAGTAAAGTAGCAGATTGTATTATAGTCCTCAAGTCACTGAAATTTATATAGGTTATTAGCATTATCTTTAAATATACAATATAAACAAAACTGTACATTGATGGCATATTTGTTTTCCAAAACAATAGGCAACTGATGAGCTAAAGACACCGTAGTCTGCCAAAAACAAAGGCACATCTGAGTGAGATACATGCCCTTTCTCCTCTATGATCGGGTTATGTAGTCCTTGCTTACATCTGACAAAATAATAAACAGTGCATTCTATTATTTTCATCCTACTTTTCATTTTTGTCTTCAGCAGCAAATACTGGCATTTAAGACATGGCATTAAACAGTTTAAGAACTGTGGGTGTTATTCACAATTCTCCTAGATGTAAAAACTAGAAGTAAAAACTAGAAGATGGTCAAAGAGGTTTAAAAATCAGTAACACCATTAGCTTCCATGTTTATGTAAATTCATTGCCTTAAAAAGGCAGCTATTACTCAAATTTGAAAAATTCCACAAAAGCACTATCCCTTTTCAGTGCAATCAATGTCACTTTAAATCATATTTTAGCAGAGTCTACAGTGCAATTATAAATTCATTATACTGGCCTTTTGGCAGCACAGAGGATCCAAGACAAGGCAATGCTACTGACCACCTGAGGAAAATGGTGAACGACTTTTGAATTTTTATTTTTCCAATTCTTAAAAGCTTATTTGATCAGTAGCATTTTTGTAAAAGCATTACAAAATAGTACTAAAATACTATGCCTTTTTTGAATAAATTAAAAAAAAAACTTTACAAATACTATTCCAGTGTCAATGACTACATATGGCTAAGGTCATTGAGGAGTTTCTGCATTTTCTAACAAAGACAGTCCATACAACGGAGGGTGCGAAAGTTCCCGTTTGTAAGTCTTTGGTGGCAGTTTTGGTAGGTGAGGGCTTGAATTCTGCCTTGGAGGGACAGGTGGAGCTGGAGGATGAACAAGATTATTGTGACTAGAACTAAGAACATAGCATCGACGCGGTACCCTTGGAGAGGGAGTGCTAGGAGGAGTGCTTGGTGAATTCGGACATGTATTAACGTCTCTGAACCACTCTGGATCTCGGTGAAGATGTCCCAGTGGAGGAGGCTGAAGATTAAATGGACAGTTGATAAAGTGTTCTGGAGGCCGAAGGGGAACCGGTGGAGGGGTATCAGGAAGAGGATCTCTTGGCGGTGGTGGAGGTGGGCTGTGCAGAGGTCCATCAAATGCACTAGCAGGAACAGGAACTCTGGGTTTTACCTTTGGAGGAGGAGGCTGTCTCGGTGGAATAGCAGGAGGGTCATCATCAGATTTCATATTCCCCTCAAGAAAAAATAAAGTAAGTAAACTACTTTTCTGTTCTCCTGAAAATTTTGTAATAAAAATTTAAAGGATGCTGTATCAAGTTAAATCCAGAGGCTCAGAATGGATCAATCTGATTTAATTATCATATTTATGAGTAAATTCCTCCCAGATGAATTCAGGGTTCAATTTAATATTTTTATATGAGATATTTAAATTGAAAACTTAGAAAAGGAGAGGGAGGGAGAGTGGGAGGAAGAAACATGAAAGGAAGAAGAGAATATCATTATACAAGCTGTATCTATGAACTATATTTGAATCTGTTAAAATCCAAATAATTTTTAAAAATATAAATAAATAAATGGATAACAGAACATAAATCCTCAGGTTATTTTGCTGGTCTTACATTGTAGAAGTTTATTTATTTGAATTACAGTGATAAGTAAGTGAAAATAACACACAGTTTTATAGACAGGAAAGGACGTAATGTCGGAGTCTTAACATCCAGTTTCTGCTTACCAGGCATCTACTTCTACTTGCCCAGTGAGGCTCAGTGCAGTAGATCTGAAAGTGTGATCCAGGGCCTGAACCAACAGTACCAGTAGGGAACTTACCAGAAAAGTAAATTCTTGGGCTCTACCCCAAACCCACTGAATCAGAAATTCTGGTGGTGGGGCTCAACAATCTGGTTTGTTGTTGTTGTTGTTTGACAGGCAGAGTGGATAGTGAGAGAGAGAGACAGAGAGAAAGGTCTTCCTTTTGCCGTTGGTTCACTCTCCAATGGCCGCCACGGCTGGCGCACCGTGCTGATCCGAAGGCAGGAGCCAGGTGCTTCTCCTGGTCTCCCATGGGGTGCAGGGCCCAAGCACCTGGGCCATCCTCCACTGCACTCCCGGGCCACAGCAGAGAGCTGGCCTGGAAGAGGGGCAACCGGGACAGAATCCGGCGCCCCGACCGGGACTAGAACCCGGTGTGCCGGCGCCGCTAGGCGGAGGATTAGCCTAGTGAGCCGCGGCGCCGGCCAACAATCTGGTTTTAACAAGCCTTCCAGGTGACTAATGCACACTTAAGTTTGAGAAGCACCAATTCAAATTTGAGGAATTCTTTAAATACTAAAGTTCTTTCCGTCTGTACCAGAAATAAAATGTACTCAGTATCTGTCATTTACCCACTCTCTTATTTTTTTCCTGAGGATTGAACAACTAAATATTTTCCAAACATAACAACATAAATGTTGAAAAAACATAAAGGATAGCCAAAATATAACTGGCAGACTCCGTATAAGAAAGAGCACTATTTAGAAGATCCACAACTTTGAGTAAATAGAGGTAAATCAATGTCCTGGTGATTACCTTGGAATTTGACACATCGTGATCAACCTTTTTTCGAGGAGGAAGAGGGGGAGGAATCAGTGGCTCTTCACTTAATTTATGTAAACTACCACAGGAACTGAAGAAGGACTCTAGAGGAGAAAAAGATTAGGATAAACACAATTCATTGTAATTTGTGATCCCTTTTGTAATAGCATTTGTCAGACTATTATTGCTATTACTGTCTTTTAGACTTTCGGTTTATCCCCTCACCCTGCCCCCAATAAATGGTAGCGTGTGGCACCTGTGGCACCTATTAGTGCCTGATACATGGCAGATATCACAGATGGGGGGGTAGGGAACACCCGGTCCTGACGTGCATGAAATCTTTAGCTCTGGCCCTGCCAAGGCAACCACAGGCAGCATTTAAAAGTTCAAAAAATCTATAGCAGGATAATTTTTAGGTTGATAATATTATATGGCCTGTGAATGATATAAATATACAAATGGTCCTTGGCAGAAAAAAGTTTCCCCACCTTTGCAATAGATATCTAAAACATTACACAAAAACAAAAATGTTTATATATGCTGTGGTTGCTTCCAGAAAAAACATCCTAAGAAGAGATCATGTATTGCTGAGGTATCATGTATTACAATGAGGTGCCTTAGGTGCATTACCACGAAAGTAAGAAAACCTCCATATGGGGGACCATAAAGTAGGTTTGTTTCATATAACTTTCTCTTTGCCAGTCCCTCATTGATAATGTATATGTTATTTAATAACAAAAGGAAATTTATGAAATAATAAAGGGTTAGAGGAGATTACTACTAAACAGGTCAACCAAAGAATAAGAATTACTTTCATTTTGATTTCTTTTATCTATTTCATATAATTATTAAAAACTGTAATTACAGTTCAAGTCCCTGTTCATATATAACACAGACATTATAAAAGGCAGGAACTATGTCTTGTTTGTCATCATACTGAGATTGGGTTCATAGGAGCTAGCAGGGAATTAAGTTGATGAGTTTAATTTTAAGCCTGCTAAGTGAACTTCTTATGAGACATCCAAGTAGAGATACCAAACTCATTACTCCATGGCAAAAACCTCTGTCCTGATCATGTGACTCTGCAGTTAACTCTGACGCACGGGCCAGCAGCTAACACAAAAAGGATGCCTGTGAAGTATGCATGGGGAGGCAAGGCAGAGCACCCCCTGCTATGGATATGTTCCTCATGCCGAACCAGCATCCTCTGTTCTTTGTGAGAGCTCCTTGTGGTGGTGGTGATGAAATCTGTCCTATTCAGGTTAGTCAGCCAATCCTGTCCAGTGCACCCTATCCCACCCAAGAACAGGCCTCATGTCCTCACTTTTTTTTAACGTTACCAGATTTTTATCATGTGCTTCAGGAAAAGCTAACTTTACTCTTTAGTTCCAGCTCTGGAGATGAGGCTTAATTAGCAATCTCATTCCAACACCCAGGGTGACTGGTTTAAGTGTAGACATGTGACTTAATTCAGATACCAGCAAAATCTCAAAGCTTTCCAGAAGCTGCTGAAAAGAAAGTTCCTTGCTCTTCTAGAACAGCACTGGGTAAATCTGTCTCTGTACCCCTGCCCTCATTACTTGACTGAACAAAGCAGCATATAAACTTTATTACTCTTGCCAGCATCCTCAGGGCCTGGAGTGCAACAGCCTTAGATAAACCTGATCATCTGGACAACACAGAATCAAAAAGAAACCCAGTCACCAAACCACTGAAGCAACCAGTCTTAAAACAGTCTTCTTCTAGACTTCCAATTACATCTATGGAGAATGCCTTCCTATTGTGTAAGCCAGTCTT